TCCTTAAAAATAATGTATTTTTAGCATGGTAACTGTTATGGATTGTGCCTGTGCTTAGAAAGTATCACCTTAGAAACATTATAGATTGGGGTGCCCGATTGGAATCTGCAGATATCCTAAAATTAGATACTCAACATTTGTAATATCATGGTTATGCAACACTGAGTATGCCAAATAAATAGGCCAAGTCTGCTGAAAGCTATAAGGTGAACTTTGACCTTTTGTTTATGCCCTTCTGGTTATCATATCTTGATTTAATTAATATTAATAAAATGTAATTGTGCTACTTTAAAAAGATAACTCTGTAATATTCATTTTCAACTCAGTCTGTTCTGCATTTGAAAAGCACCCCAATATATGGACATATTCTCCAAGCATGTATTAGAATCAAAACTCCCTAAAAATGGGAATAAGCATCAAAGCTATGTACAAAAGTAAATATGAAGTGTTTAGAAGGATTTTCTGCTAGTGGTATAAGGAATTAACTTAGAAATGTGAGTGAGGAAAGCGTGTTAATATTTTACCTTGAGATTCCATTTGTATATTATGATAAGTAAGAATTAGGCAAGGAAAAAGTAATTTTAAATGGTATTCTATGGAATATGGAAAATGTAGCAAATCTCTTATTGTTTAGATTTTATTTATTGTTTAGGTGTGTATTTACTTATTTGTAATTCACACTTTTGTGTGAATTTGTGTTTATTTCTCATGTAATTTTTTTTAATCAGCATTACTAAAAATGGAACCCATGGGTTTATATGTGAAAAGCAGGTGCTGTATTGCTAAGCTTCTCCCTCAGGCAGATTTATTTCCTTAATCACATATGTATATGCTTAAAATTAATATGTCGCTATATGGTAAATCTTTTAAAGTGTGATTGACATTGAGAGAAGGTAGGAAAAAATAATTTTGTAGTATTGGGAAATTTTAGAAACTTTTATTTTGAATAACTTTCTAGAATTCTTTTCTGTTAACATCAATAAAATGTTCTATGTTTATTCTTCATTGTTAATTTTTCCTCTTCCATTTGTGGGGTTTATCATAGAGAAACAAGTTAAGAAATTAATACTTTGTAATTACAAGAAAATACTTAAACTTCATTTAACATCTGTATTAGTATTGTTGATTGACTCCTGTTTTTAGAAGTCTTTGTAACTTTCATGATTCTCTGCTTAGTGTATCTTCTGTTGAACAGTTTAGACCACTGATAAGCATTATTCAGTGGCATATGGTCTGAGTCTGACATGCTTTGAAAAAGAGTACAGAGTTCTGATAATGAGGATTCTGTGAAAATGGGAAAACCAGCACAGCAGATATGCTTTGAGAAGCTATGGGATGTTAGCATCTTGAAACAATATATCACACTCAAAGGGACAGAACTGGGCTGCACAGTCTGTTAGCTCATTCTTGTCCAATCTGGTCTCCTTTCTTTTGGAGCCAGCATTGTCATCAACTTGCTGAATTATATTCTGACTGGAATGTACTTTAGGCTCAGAGTAATGTATCTACTTAAATGGAATCCTATCTCTCTACAAAAGCTTTTTGAGTATAATAAATTTAAAATATAAAAAATTCTATTAAGTTAAAGTAAATGGTTCAACAACTTACATATGTGTCTCTTCTCCCACCCCTTAAACAGATCACTCGAAAGCATATAGATCTGTTTCTCTTTTATGTGCAATTTCAAATATTTTTTGTTTAACTATTAGGTGGTCTGATATATTTCAAAGGTTGTTTATTGGAAAAATACCAATGCATTACAGCAAATATTTATTAAACCAACCGTACATCGGAATTGAAACTTCCTATTGTTTTCATTGTTGTAGTTAGTCATGTAGCACCCATATTACCAACAGTTAACCCTTTCAGTGCTATGGAATCATTTTTATGTAATAAATAATGCGCCATATGTCTTGGTGAAGTCGTACTACATATCCTTGGAGAAATTGAGATGATAACCCAAATACTTGTTGAGAATCTTATTTCATTGAATCAAAGTTGAGAAAGGTTACTATATTGATTTCAAAATCAATGGAACTTTTTAATTTAAAACATACTAAGTTGTATAAATAAACTAAGTGTGATGTTAACACTGCTGCATTGTATAAAGAATAATCTGTGGTAATCTTTATAAATCGATAGCACAACAGGAGACAAGTAAAAAATGCTAAAGAAATATCTATTAAAAGGTTCAGCTTTTACTACCTGAAAATTTCCCAATTTTTTTTGCTTGACTTAAAATAATTTGATCAAAATTAAACTCAGTTTAAAAACAATAACAAGTACATATAATTCAATAAAATGTATTTTTTTTAATTCCTTTGGGCTACTTTAGTAGTATTTTATTTTACTAATTAGCATCTATAATTTTCCCTTATGTTGTTCAGAAAATTCAGATTCATCCTTAGAACCTGTGTAATAAATGAAGTTGTTTTTGTGATTGTCCTCTTGAGGATTTCAGGGATTGCCAGCTCAGATAGGCAAAGCTTCCTTTTTAATGCATTGATTTATGTGACTGAGAGGTGAGGAGAGTGAGAAATAGCTCCTCTTCCTCCAAATCTCCTGTCACAAGGTGTTTTAGTTTTTGAATAGCAAATGGCACATTACTTTTGAGGCATGACTGTCATGGAACATCGTGAATCACACAATTCATATGTACTTGCTTTGTTTATAAAACTGAAAAATCTAAAAGTAATTTTAAGTTTAAAAGCATCAGTGAATCAATATAAATTGGAAATACCTTATGCAGTGCAGCTGGCTCAGAAATAATTTATTAAACAATAAGAACTTTCTTATGCTAATTTCATTGAAGACAGTGTACATATATATAGTAAATTTCAGAGAAGTTTACTTCTTATGTTCACAGATAAAGGCAAAAGCTGTTATGTATTATAAAACAGAATGAACTTTTAATACACACAACTAACAGTGAAAGTCGACAAATAACGTTTCTAATATGTGTGATATTCATAGTATTGCCTACTTAATGTATCATTTTTCTATAAATTAATTTTACTATTAAACGTTCCCTTCTTTTTATGTATTATTAGTACAAGACAGCTTGTTCCCACATTCTAAAATCTTATGTTTTTTAAATTATGAAAACCAAAGGAATATGAATGCAAGCAGTTATTCCTTGCATAGATAATATGGACTTGTGTATCTTTTCTAAAATGTAACAACCGAATAAAGTTCCCTTAATTGGAGATTTTGAGATGTTTACTTTATGCACACCCAGAAGAGGAAATGTATTCTAGTTGTGCATGATAGAAGTTGTCAGGAGGAAAAAAAATGAAATGAGATCTGAAGACAGTATTATTTATTTGTATTTCTACTTCAAGCATATAAAATTGTCCATGATCTTTTTCCAAGTTCTCCCTCCAGTATTGAGTACTAATGGCATGTGTTGATAAGGCTATAGAAATAACTAAAATGGAATACCCTTTTAAGGGTGTGATGCTGAATGCCCATGAAGGGGAAAACTTCTTATGCTGTCCCTGAGGTTACTCTCTGCTTTAAGGACAAGCAGAAGACCACTAAGAAGAGGAGATTGGACTTTCTGTTTAGTTCTATATAAGGAATAAATTTTATAAGCAAATAAAATTTTCTGCCATTGCCATCAAGTTTATGTTGCATTCATTATATCCAGTGTACAGTGGAGATGAATAGAACATTTAAAAAATATTTATTAAATGTGTTCCAAAAAACATGTAGATAGATGTATGAAATTTAACTGAAATAAGGGAAGCTTTAGACATAAACTCTATAAAAATAAAAAGCTAGCATTTTTAATATATTAAAAAACTTTAAATAAGAAAGAAATTGTATAGTTTAACTTTGAAACAAGGAATCACATAGCCATCATTTCCAGTTAAATTGATAGAAGAAGAAACACTTTGGATTTTAACCATAATTTTAAATAAGGATATATAATTGTTTAGGTACAAATTAAAACTACAACAGGAGTTAAATAGTAGGCAAATGAATATTTTGTAGGTGCTTAAGAAAAATTCTAGGTAATAAAACATAAGTGAATACTTAGAAACATTTGGTCTGTCAAGTTATTTTAAATAATAAATAAAATGATGTTTGAAAAACTAAATAAGGATGTTTATAGGCAAAGAAAGGTTGTTACCCATCAGTGTGTATACTGGTTATATTACACCACTAAGCAAAAGAGAGATGTTCCATCAATTAAAGAAAATGGTAATTCACCCCCAAAAAAGCAACTAGAAGATATGAAAGGCTTTTAGCTACTGATCAAAGCAATAAGATATAAACAAAGTAGTCTTTTTAACAATTAAAATTTTTTCAGGCTCTGATATGATTATAGTTAGCATCTTTTCTGGCAGAAAAGTTTGGAATAGACCTCCTCCAAGTATCTTCAAACTGTTTTTATCCATTGGCAAATTTTCAGATAAGGCTAGTTACTTATTACATGACTTTAATGGAAGGATTTAAATGCGTACATAAGATTACTCTTATTATTTCTAATTTACAGATAAAGAAATGGAGTCAGTCATGTGACTTAATGAGCCCTAAGTTTAGTATGAAACTTTGTTGTGGTAAATACTTTCTGATAGAATTATATCGGATTCTTTTTGTTTTTGCATTTTCTCAAGTTAGACTCAGATCTGAAAAGATAAGTGTCTTTTTATTATAATGATACTAAACCTTTTTAGACAACTTTAAATCCTTTTAAATATTCCATAACCATTAAGAATAATTTCTATTTATCATCATGTATTTTTCTATTGTTAAATAATACTAAAATGGGTAGTATGAAAAATATGTTTTTACCAAGAAGGAATTATTTTCTGTTTACCCAGCTTTAATGAAAGCAGTAAATAGATTATGTATTTATGGCCATATAATGTTATTAAAGCCAGAAAAAAATGCAAAAACAAAAAACAAAAGGTATGTCAATCTAACATAATTGAAATGCATGAATATTTTAAAGCTGATGCACCTACATCTTAGACTTGCCCTTGCATTGGCAGATGGAGAACATCATTGGGACAATACGAGATTCCAACCTGAAGCTGACTCTAGCTTTTGGGATAGGAATGCATCATGCTGGGCTACATGAAAGAGACCGAAAAACTGTAGAAGAGCTGTTTGTGAACTGTAAAGTCCAGGTACCTTTTCCCTTGAACACATATTTAAAAGTGACATAGAAGTTTCATTTTATTTAGCTATAAAGCATTATGTTTATCTTTTAGGTTCTTATTGCTACAAGCACATTAGCATGGGGTGTAAACTTTCCAGCGCACTTAGTAATTATTAAAGGAACTGAATATTATGATGGAAAAACAAGACGTTATGTGGATTTTCCCATTACAGGTAATTTTTCTTAGTTCAAAGATATATTAAACTTGTCTTTCATCTTTAGCAATTTAGGTTTATATAAATTAAATTTTGAGAACTCGTCTCATGTGTATAATAATCAAGTTAAGAAGTCTTTGTTTTTAGTATAAATGCTTCAGTAAATATTGAACTTTTTATTTCTTGCCCAATTCATTAATAATCACAACCATAGTTAGTCATTTCAAATTCATAAAAGTACTAGTTAATAACTATTAGAGACAATAAGTTTTGATTAAGAACTATAATTAATAGATTTCAAAAACTAAATAGTTTTTAAATAGAATTACTACACAGTTTGTGTGGATGGATGTATGTATATATGCATGCTCACAATGTGTGTGAGTGCACATGTGGGCGGGCACAGCAGCATTGTGTGTATACATGCAGGTGGAGGCCAGAGGTTGATACCAGTTGTCTTTCTCATTTACTCTCTACTTTATTTACTAAAGAATGGCAGCTCTTGCTAAAGCCAGCGTTCTTCTAATCTAGTTAGCCAGTTTGTATTGGGAACCCGTCTCTATCTCCCATGTGCTAGGATACAGAGAAGCTGCCATACCCTTCTGGCTTTGATATCAGTACTGAGTTTTCAACCTCTGTTCTCACACTTGTGCAGAAGTGCTTTATCCACTGAGCCATCTCCACAGACCCTACAATATCAATATTGTTAAATGGCATCTTAAATCATGTAACTTAAGAGAACTTCATTTAACAAATAGTGTAAACTGCCATTTTAAGAGTTTAGTCTTAATCACAATTGCTTATTTAATGTAATTTTTGAATGTATCATATGTATGTGATTATATTATGTATATAAACACAGACATATATATGTTAAAGACTGTAATAGTGATGATCAGAGAAGCACACATTTTCTTAAAATATCCTATTAACTATTAGTCTTTGTTGTTAGAAGTGTGACCTGATCAGAAACTTTACTTTGTGCTCAGTGTCACTGCAGGGTGCCTCTTATTTTCTCTTTCATAGATGTGCTGCAGATGATGGGGAGAGCTGGGAGACCTCAGTTCGATGACCAGGGCAAAGCTGTAATTCTTGTTCATGATATAAAAAAAGACTTTTATAAAAAATTTCTTTATGAACCTTTCCCAGTTGAATCAAGGTAAGTTTGGTCTTAAACAAATGAGTTTTGTTTCATAATGAATTTGTGTTTTTCTAGTTATGTTTCTTTCCAATTGAAAATAAGTTTGTCGTACAATATATTTTGATCATATTCTTTCCCATCCCCCAGCTCTTCCCAGATTATATCTTCCTACCCACCCAACTTCATGTTCATGCAATCTCCCTTTCCTTCTCCTCTTCCCTATTCTCTCTGTCTCAAAAGAAACAAAAAAGAACAAAAAAAAACCATAGATTAGAAAAACATCATAAATATTTAAAAAAAAGATAAAACAAAAAATATCAAAGCAAAGTAAAAAGCTCTAACAAAGAAGCTATTTGCAGTTGATCTCTTGGAAAAGGGAAAATCAGTTTTTCCCAGTGGAGTAACACTGTATATCATCCACAATGTGGGGTAGACCTTGTGCCTAGGAGTAGTTGGCCAGCACAAAACAGACTTAATGGTTGCGTTTTCTTTCTTTCTTTTTCCCCAAATTTTGTTTGGGTATTTTTTGTCCTGGTTATGTTTTACTAAAAAACAATTAGTAATACTCATAACATAACTTTACAATGTGAGACAACATACAGCTGTTATTATTATCTTATGGGAAACTGTTGTATGGCTGCCATGCACACTGAACCATTGCTCTGGCCCAGGTGACCCAGATTGAATTCTGAGCTCTGCCACTAAATTGCTTGACTTTAAGCAGTTCCTTTCACTTTTCATTGTGTATAAATGGGAGTGATAGCAATTTTAACTTGCTCATTTGTATTTGTGGGGATAAGATCAATAATTCTTGGAACCAATATCTGTTGTGAGGAAAGCATTCAGTAAGACCTTAGCACTCCCAAATGTTGGCTTGTTTTGGCTTTTATATGTGTGTGATCTTCAGGAATTGAACCTAGGGCCTGCAGCATGGTAGACCCTACCACTACATATATCACTACCCCCTTTTTTGCTTTTCATTTTGAGATAGGGTTTTATTAAGTTACCCAATTGGACCTTGGACTTACTCAGTACCCTAGCCAGGCATTGAATTTGCAGGTTCCATGCCTCGGTCCCTCTTGTTAAGTATTTTCTTAAGACACCAAACCTCTCTGCCCGACATAATATAATCCCACCCAGATTGAACCAGACCAAATTAAAGTTGCTCATGTTTAATGGAGTGCTCCTGAGTGACCCTGGGAAAACATGGAGAGGCGAAGACCCCACAAAACCTGGAGACCACATGTTCATTCTCTGGGCGGGGGCAGTTTAAATAGCCTGTGGGAGTGGTCCCAACCTTCTCTGGGGAGGAGTTAACGATTTGGTGGGCTTTCTTGACCCTCCCTGTGGGGGGGGGGGCACCATTTGACGTGCTTTCTCGGAGGTGGAGTTTGGACTGAGGCAGCTCCCAGAGGAGGGAGCTTATGCCAGGAGCTGGGGTGAAGCCCCTAGCCAAACAGTCCGGACATTTTGTATAAAGGGGTGTTAGGGAGCTGATGTGATGCTTTTGACCAAACATTCCAGACTTTTTCGATAAAGGTGTGCCAACGAGCTGAGATGAAGCCCCTTAACCAAAAATTTAGACTCATTGGATAAAGGGGCACCAGCTCAAGTCTGGCTGCTTCCTGCGGGCATGGGGTGACGTGGGAAGGGGAGATCTGGGGTTTGGTGGGCTCACGCTTAGCCAGAGGTGTGGCTGGAGTGGCATCCATTTTACTCTCATCCTGGAGATATCAGGCAGCTGTTTCTTGGAGGGAGATGAGAAGGCAGGTAGCTAGGAGAAAAAAATATATATTGTTATTATTGGCCCTATGAATGGGCTAGTCATGGAAAGAGTCATTAACTCTCTGTCCCAGAAAGAATGGGACAGAGAAGTGCCCTGGTTGTATTGGTGAGGCTCAGATGTATAAGTGGAACACAATAGCAGATAAAACCATATTTTAGTTGGTAAGTGGAGAGTTGATATCAATGGTGAAGTCCCAGAAGCTGGTACACGTGTTGGTGTTGTCTGGAGAGCGCTTAGTAAATTTGTCTTTGCCCAGACAGCAGCGGTGACCTGTAAAATATGTTTGAAAATAGTATGTGGAGTTAAAATAGGCTCTGGACACTGTTAGTTTTTACCAGACCTGATTTTTGATACAGCAGCAGAACTCTTTCCCAGGAACCTGTAGGTATCTGTAAGTCAACTGGAACAGATTTACATTTTGCTGTCATAGCAAAAGGCTATTGCTTTAGGTTAAAAGGAACTGGAAACTTTGAGCCCACCTGTTAGTCCTGGATTATGAAGTCTGTTAAAGAAGCACACCTGTCTGTATTTTAGCAGGACACTTAACAAATGAAGTAACGAGCTACCAGTATCTTATCAAATGCCATTAGACAGATCTAAGAGGGATAAATGAGCAGAAATGAGACAGCTTCGTTAGCTATGCAGGCAATCCCAAGTCTCTCTTAGTCCTTGGAAAGCACCAGCCTAGAAGCAGTGCTTGCCATTAGCTGCTGAGTACAAGACGCCCAAAGGTTTTCCTGTGGTGGAAAGATTTAGTCTACCTGGCTTGGCATCTCAGTGGGCCCTCCAAATGTTAAGTATTTTCTTAAGATGCTAGATCTCTCTGCCAACATAAATAATCCCAAGCAGACCAAATTAAAGATACCCATGTTTAATGGAGTGCTCCTGAGTGGCCCTGGGAAAACATGGAGACCACATGTTCATTCTCTGGGCGGGGGCAGTTTAAATAGCCTGTGGGAGTGGTCCCAACCTTCCCTGGGGAGGAGTTAAAGATTTGGTGGGCTTTCTTGACCCTCCCTGTGGAGGGGACACCGTTTGGTGGGCTTTCTCGGAGGTGGAGTTTGGACTGAGGCAGCTCCCAGGGGAGGGAGCTTATGCCAGGAGCTGGGGTGAAGCCTCCAGCTAAAAACCCCTCCCCCTAGAAGCTTAGATCACTGAATTATTACCAACAAGGTTCTACTGTTTGCTTATTTGATTATGTTTTCCAAATATGAAGAAACTTTATATGTTTATATCTAAATACCAGGATTAGAAAAACATCACAATTATTAAAAAGATAAAATATTATGAACAACTTTATAAAAATAATTTTTACACATTAGCTCAAAGAATAAAATTTATTTTAAAAACTACTAAAACTGGCACAATAAAAAAGAGAATATAAGTTATCAGTACCAGATATGTCAAAGCAATTGAATTCAGAATGCACAATTTTTTTCATAATGAAATCTTATGATGCAGATACTTTACTGTTGAATTCTTTGTACTATAGAAGGAATAATGCCAGCCATTAATGAGCTTTCTCCTAGTAATAGAAAAGGTAGGAATTGCAGGGTGTGGTGGTGCATACTTTTCATCCCAGCACTTAGGAAACAGATTTGAGAAAAATCTATGTCTACATAGCGTATTCCAGATTATCCATGACTAGACTACATAGTAAGAGCTGAGAGAGAGAGAGAGAGAGAGAGAGAGAGAGAGAGAGAGAGAGAGAGAGAGGGGATGAAAAGAAACATTAGGAATAAATTTCTAGTTTGTTTTATGGAGTCAGAATAACTTAAATGCTAAAATTCATTAATGAAATCATCTTAAGAACTTAATAGACCTGTGTATCTTTTGAATGAATACAGAAATTCAAAACGAAACATCTATCTATATATATATATATATATATATATATACACAAATACACTTTACCCTGTAAATACAAAAGCTGTTTCTGAAAATAAGTGAATCTAATTCGCCACAAAAACAAGTGATAAATGTCATATGACCATCTCATGTATTTTCAAAGAATTTGATTTAACATACCCATTTATCACAAAACTAATTTACTCTGGGCATTGTATAGTAAAAGGGTAATTTTTTTTTCTTGTGCTATGACCATTACTAATATTTTATGTCATAAAATATTCCATAGCTAATTCAGTTCTCTGTTAATGCACATTTAGCAATCCAGTTTTCTTTTCTAATGGATTTTTTTAATATGTATGAATGTTTTGCTTGCATGTATGTAAGGGCACCAACATGCCTACCATGCTAAAGGAGGCCAGAAGAGGGCATCAGATGCCCTAGAACTGGAGTTGCAGTATGGGTACCAGTAACTGAGCTCTGGTCTTCTGCGCTGTCTCTCTAGCCCCACAGTTTCCTCCTCTTGTGTATAATGTGACAGTGAAACATTTTACCTTTCTGATATTACAAACAGATGTTTCTCTATCAGACGGTGATGAAAAAAGGGAATTGCTAGATTACACTCAGCCCTGCAGTGGATATTACCAGTACTCTTCATGCAGACTGTAACCACTTTCACTCTGCCGCAATAAATTGAGCTTGTCATAGAGAATATTTTTTACATTGTTTTTCTAATCTATTCATGTCCTTTACAAAAGTTAATTTGAATACTTTGCATATGATTCTATTTGTAATTATTTAGCCCTTTTTTGACATTGCTTGCTTTTTACATTTTACATAAGAAATTAAAATTAGCATGTTCTTTCCCAATCTTTCAACACATCTGATCACCTTTTTATATTCCACGAAACTTTCCTATTCTTTCAAGCACTTAGTGTTCACTGGGTGAATAGAGGAAATGTCTGCCTCCGCCTATCATCCCTGTCTCACAAGTTCCCTTTTAGTCTTTACTCCAGCACTTCTTATGTTCTTCATTTCATTCGACAAGCCTCCTCTCTTGAGTCACATCTTTTTCTGTAAGTTTCTAGCTTCCTTCCTGCCAGCCTATGTTTTATTTTTCCATATAACCATTATTTTCTGAAAGAATGATAGCAAGGTTACTATTTGTTGAGTATTTACCAGATGGCAGGTAGTAGTAACTGCTTTCAGCTGGTTGTTACTACTTAAGGTATTCTGGGGAAAGTCTATATTACTATAGTACTCTGCACTCTGTTCATATGCATGTACATTTTAACAAGAAATAAAGCATAAGCATATATGTGCTAGTTAATAATGTGTTCTTAAGTTCATGGTACTAAGTTACGAATCTATAGAATTTGTAACAACTTTTAACAGTTATCACCAAATAATCTGAAATAAGTTATTTATAAATTATACAAAGTTGTTATACATAAATTACATAAAACCACTTTTTGATAGCTGAGAACATAAAAATCTGAATCTTTATTGTTCATTGTATTTCTTGTCTCTTACTCAATATATAGCTTATTAGGAGTGCTTTCTGACCACTTAAAAGCAGAGATTGCTGGAGGTACAATAACATCTAAGCAAGATGCAATGGATTATATCACATGGACTTACTTTTTCCGGCGTCTTATGATGAACCCTAGGTAAGTGTGAGGCTCTGTGAATGGGCAGTTGCACGTTGTATGTACAGAAAGCACAGGCATTTAAAAGAAACTCCAAGTCTGAGTGTTTGTCAGCTCTTAACACATTCTGTAGATGCAAGTTTACAAGAAAATCATATAATGTCCCATATAGTCATAGTACGTAAGAGTATGGTTGATTGTATACATTTGCTATTTGAATTGCTGTAGGATAATTTTCCTATGTAGTTGGAAGACAAAGCACTGAAAGTCATTAAGGCATCTTCGTTACTATGTGGTAGTAACTAACAGAAATACAGTTGGAGTTCAAAGAAAGGTTAAGAGTGGTGAAGTTGGATAAGAGAAATTATGGGGTATTTCTTAGTGTTAATAAGAATTCTACAAGATAAGATTGTGCTGTATTTGATCCTATTTTTCTGGTTTATTAGATCTTGATTTAGCAGGCACTTATCAGATGTTATGTCAAGCTCTGAAATGCATGTTTGTGTTTACCATCCCTTGTCTCCAGTGACTCCCATTTCTTATAGGAAAAGCATGAATAAGCACTAGAATTTGATAAATTCTCTAAGAGAACTGTATTTAATCCTGTGAAGGTAATAGCTTGTCAGATAATGTGATACTTCAGATATTCAGAACTAGAAAAGGTGTAAAGCATCCAGGCAGGAAATAAACACAAAGAGTCCTGGGGATTGGAAGAGTAATTAGTGTTTATGGATTAGGAAAGTTTGCTGTGCTCAGAGAGTAAAGGTTGACATCTTATCTTTATCTACTTCCCATGTAGATAAGATCTCTGTATGTCTCTCTTAGGGTTCTCATTGTTGTCTAGGTTCTTGGGGATTGTGATTTGTAGGCTGGTTTTCTTTGCTTTATGTTTAAAAATTACCTATGAGTGAGTACATGTGATAATTGTCTTTCTGTGTCTGGATTACCTCCCTCAAAATAATGTTTTCTAGCTCCAAACATTTTCCTGCAAAATTCAAGATGTTGTTATTGTTTTCTGCTGTGTAAATGTACCATATTTTCCTTACCCATTCTTCGGTTGAGGGGCATTTAGGTTGTTTCCAGGTTCTGGCTATGACAAACAAAACTGCTATGAACATAGTTGAGCACATATCCTTGTGGCACGATTGAGCATCCTTTGGATATATACCCAAAAGTGGTATTACTGGGTCTTGAGGAAGGTTGTTTTCTAATTTTCTGAGAAATCGCCACACTGACATCCAAAGGGGCTGTACTCGCTTGCGTTCCCACCAGCAATGCATAAGTGTTCCCTTTTCCGCACAATCTCTCCAGCATAACTTGTCGTCAATGTTTTTAATCTTGGCCAGTTCTACAGGTGTAATCTGGAATCTCAGAATTGTTTTAATTTGCATTTCTCTGATGACTAAGGATGCAGAACATTTCCTTTAGTGTCTTTCAGCCATTTTAGATTCCTCTGTTGAGAGTTCTCTGTTTAGGTCTGTACTCCATTTTTTTTTATTGGATTATGTGTTCTTTTGGTGACCAATTTCTTGAGTTCTTTGTATATTTTGAAGATCAGACCTCTTTGTGATATGGGGTTAGTGAAGATCTTTTCCCATTCTGTGGGCTATCATTTTGTCTTGTTGACCATGTCCTTTGCTTTACAGAGCTTTTCAGTTTCAGGAGGTCCCATTTATTAATTGTTTCTCTCAGTGTCTGTACTAACTGAGTTATATTTAGGAAGTGGTCTCCTATGCCAATACGTTCAAGTGTACTTTGCACTGTCTCTTCTATAAGGTTCAATGTGGCTGGCTTTATGTTGAGGTCTTTGATCCATTTGGACTTGTGTTTTGTGCATTATGATAAATATGGGTCTATTTTCATTCTTCTACATGTTGATATTCAGTTATGCCAGCACTATTTGTTAAATATGCTTTCTGTTTTCCATTTGATATTTTTAGCTTCTTTGTCAAAAATAAGGTGTTCAAAGGATCGTGGATTAATATCCAGGTCTTCTGTTCAGTTCCATTGGTCCTCCTGTCTGTTCTTATGCCAATACCAGGCTTTTTTCAGTACTGTAGCTCTGTAGTAGAGTTTGAAGTTCATTTTTTTGTTTTTACTTCAAAATAAATCATCTTTCCCTAGTTTCAGTTACTCTCCACCTGCTTCTTGTCTACCCCTAATTTAGTCCCATTTGTACTCTGTCAAACTGTATTGATCAAAAAGAAGATTAATTACATAGAACATGTAAATTAGATATAGTTTGGTTTTCTTTAAAGATAATGAGTAAGAAATTTCCCAGATAATTTGGTTTGGGTGGATATAACTTCACTTTCTTTTTTTTTCTTTTTTCACTTTCATTTTTATAGCAAGGAAATCTCCATACAATCATAATAAACAGTGGTAATTAGACTCAACACTAGAAGTGCTGCACAGTGATGGAATTTTAAAAGGAAATTTTACTAGGTCTCTGATCAAAGGCATTTTGTTGGCTGGTGACTTGTGTTTCTTTTTTTCAGTTGTAGGCATCATCCGTGTAAATCAACATGTGTTGCAGAATTCACATTGCCTCACAAGTTTTGCCTGATGGCCAATATTCCAATCACATTGATATATGCTACTTCAGCTGATTTTTAGGATACAAAGTATCTCCTCTTGACCCTGTAATGTGTGTGCTTATTTCTTTAGTAGCTACCTAAGTAAATGTTCCAGGCAACTCTGATTAGAATAAAACTGTCATTCTGCAGTGCAAATCTACATCAATTAATCAGCCCAGATTACAAAAATGATTTGTTTTTCTAAAAATAGCTCTCCAGGTAAAGTGTTTGCTAGACAAACATGACGACCCAAGTTCTAGCTACAATTAATTATCTGAAGATGTATTAGTAAGCAAAAGTTTTTGCTATGTTATGGTAAATAAACCATTTGACACTGTATGGACTAAGACTTTGGCTTTCATTGTGGGTAAAATGGGTACCATTGCTGTCTTTCAGCACAGGACATGGGCAGCATCTTTTTGTGTCATAGTCAGGTCAATTATAATAAAAAAAATCTTGTCAGCGATTCATATTTCCCTGTTTAAGATAGAAATTCTAGGATCCATTTATTTTTATTGAGGGGGTGAGTTAAGACAGGGTCTCACTATTTAGCTATGATGCTATCCCGGAACTCACTATCCGGGATCAAATCAAGCTGATCTCAAACTCACAGAGATCCCCCTTGCCACTGGCTCCTCAGTGCTGAGGCTAATGTGTGCGCCACCATACACAGTTCAGATCCGTTTTGTAAATCAAAGCAAACATTTATTGTAAGGTACATACAAAATTAAAATAGCAGTTTTCAAATATATGAAATTTACTATTAAGGTTGGAAAGATGTACAAGAGAATAATAGATAGAAGTGATAGAGTACACCTGTCATCCCATCACTCAGGAGGCTGAGCCAGGAGTGGAGACATAAGCTTGGGACCATGTTGGCTTAAATAGTAAGACTGTCTCAAAACAATATGAAAGAGAGCAAGTACAAGACTAAAATAGATGCAGAATTAACAACATGCAAACCAAAACAGAAGGCAAAATAAGAATTTGAGAAGAGTGCTTTCTTTTTTTTAATTGTTTTTATTGCACTATAATATTTTCTTCACTCCCATCCCTACCTCCCCTCTCCCCTTCATGTACTCACTCGTAAGTAGCCTTTAGACATAAAGCAAAGAAAAACCAGTGTACAGTCCACAACCCCAGAGAACCTAGACAACAAAGAGAACCCTAGGAGAGACATAGCTGGATTATTTGATGATTTTGTTTTCAGTTTTATGGGGAATTTCACACTATTTGCTGTAATGACTGTACTCATTTATATTCCCACAGTGTCCAAGCTATCCCTTTACATCACATCTTCATATTGGCTTTGACTATATTTTCTTTATTATTGTCCCTTTTAAAATCATCTATCTTCAGTGCTTGGCACAAACACATCGGAATTGAGAAAACAGGCAAATTTCTCTTAAAAATCTATAGTTTTCTCATATTAACAGCTGTATTTTGTGTAACATTAGTATTTTTTTCTTAGTGCTTCCTTTCATCCAGTGGCATAAATTGAGATTTGAATTATCTTGAGTGGAAGGAATGTTCATATGCAAGCTTGTTTCTATACATACACACACATACACATGTGTATTTATTTACTCATAGAAAAGAAATACTGTTTCCAAACGACAATCCATTATAAATAAATAAGAATGACCTGATTGTTCTAGCCCCCTCAGTTAATCATACCAACACTATAAAGTTAACACTACACCACGCCAGCCACTCTTCCTGACTTGCTAGCTATGTAAGTATATATGCATATATAATACACATTCAATTGCACATGAGTATAGACAAGGCTTTTATGCTAATATATATATATATGTACACATGCATATACTCTCTTGTTCAAAAGTGTATAAACACATATATTGTTTTAATAAAATAGAAGCTATCCCAAATTGAGTTTGTGATTCAATTTGCATAGTCGGTTTCACTCTGCTTTTAAATATATCTAGGCAAAAATGAGGTCTTGTCAGCTGTCCCTGAGCGCTCTTCCATTATTTGTGTCATTATTACTGCTGCATAATCTGAACATAAAAAAACATGGTGCTGTAACAAATGACTTCTCAGCACTGACAGTTACGGCAGTGGCATTTCAGTACTGATGGCAATTTTCTCAGCAAGCTATCTGGCCAGGTTTACATAAAGCAAAAAGGAAATGGTTGCCACTGTTCACATTAAATGCAAACTGTTTGCTGTAACTTTGTCTCAGTTTCCCTTTACTATAAAACCTCTTTCATTCCTAGATGGTGAGATTTCATCTGGTTTCAAGTTGGAAAAATATATTCTGTGGGTTCCTGTGTGTAATTCTTCCTTCTACCATAATAAGGACTTTAAAGGCTAATATTTTTTAAAGTTGTGTGGGGTTTTGATTGCTTAAATTTTATAGACTTTAAATTTTTATTTCAGGGCGAGGCTTGTTATGACTGTTTCCCAATGGACTGCTAATAGAAGTTCACTTGCTTAGCCCATGTGCTAGATGCTGTCAGTATCAAACTGCCTTTGACTTTCACACTTCTCGAGGGACTAGTAATTGTTGTGTTCAAACAGCCTGTAATTGCGATCCCGCTGGCTTTCTCAGCACACTTCTGGCTATTAGAACCATTAAACAACTCAGCACCTGTTAACGGCATTGTAAATATTCAGCCCTGCTTGTGTGCAGGTTAAGTCCAATACAGAGAAACCTTACAGAGCGCAGTCGCATAAATTAGAGTTTCTGACAAGTCAATTATTGTGAAACTGCGTTTCTCTGGGAAAGAAATGAAATAGCATGCTGACAAAAGGGAGGCTTTCTGTTTGTAGCGGAGGAAGATAATGACTTGATGATTCGACACAGTGAGCATGAAACTGCACTCTGCCCGTTAGCTGTAATTAAACAGTTGTGTAAGAATCGCTGTTTAAATAACCAGTAAATTATAAATCTTGTACAACATGAAAACAGACCTTTTTAGTTAGCTGCCACATGCTTTTTCAGGGGAGTAAAGTGATTATTGAAAATAATAATATGTCCTTTTACTTAGATTAGAAACTGGGCGGTAACAGCTCACTGATTAAAAAAAAAAAAAAAGAATATGTTGTGTACCCAATCAGACCTCTCAAAATGTTATGATTCCTAAAACATAATTGTTACATTTATATTATTTTATAATATATCATAATGATGAATCTAATTATGATAGAACATATACTCTATAGACTATTTTAATGTTTTAAGTGATCTTGCCATCAGACTGAATATTAAACCACAAAATATGCTTCAGAAAAGTCAGTGAAGTTTCGTTCCTCACACTGAAATTGTGTTCTTCCAGTTGTGACAATGAGAACTTAATCACATTCAGAAAAAATTTATGAATGTTTATCAGTAACAACTTTAAATATTTCCTTTTAGAATAAGTTGATTGTTCAGTAGGCTGGATTGTGAATAATTCTTTGTGAGATAATTGCATTCTCAGAGACAGCATTGTTTGATCCAAGTGTTTTCTCTTACCTATGGATTTTAAATGATTACAAAGGGTTTCCCCCAACTGCGTTATTTGGAGGAAATTCATCTTTAAAAGCATTCAGAGGCAAAATTCACCACCAAAACAGAATTATAGTGAATAAAGTAAAATTAAATATAGTGGATGGAGCAAAATCTATATGGAAAACATCTATGTTAAGGAGATTTATAGTTTATGGCCTTAAATATTTTCACATCTAACACTTATTATATTATAAAATGGCAAGTTGGCATTCCACTTAAGTATTTAAGATAATGATTATTAGTAGAAACATTATCCATGGGCTTTTTTATTAATAACCTAATAAATTTATAGACAAAAGTGGAATGTTAATTTTTGTTTCGTGATATTGTTTTCTATAAATTTAATTTTATCCTGACATGATTTTAATTCCTCAATTAAATATTTTTACATAATTTTTAACTTCCAGTGGAGTTTGAAATGTCCCTGTGAAGAGTCATCTTTGCAGTGTTTTTCTAGCCCTCTGTGATAGGGATTTTATATGGGCCTCTTTCATTTGAGATTGGTAACAGTTTTTTCCAATGCTGTTGCAACATTGAAGCTACCATAGTGGTATTTTAGTGAAAAGAGTTTGTAAGCCTTTAACATTACTTTCAGTTCTACACTGGTCCTTTCTTGGACCGAGAAGAGAGGTAGGATATTATATATATTCTCCATGCTGATTACTGTGGAATTTACTGGCAGGAATTTGGAAACTGCCGTTGTTGTTTGTGTCACTTTCACCTTCTGTGTTCCTTCCCAGGTACAGACTCCTTATTCTGCATTTGCCTTTCTTTGTTGCAGTGGAGAATGAATGGTCAGATAACTTACATGCTCTTAGAGGTTTTATTTGGAAAATATTCAGAGCTGGGTGTTTGTGTTTGCTGTGTATTACAAATTACAATGCTTTATTTTAGATTGATGATTTCCTTTCCAGATGTTAGAACATCATTTTTCATAAGCATCAGGAGAAAATTTCTCAAATTTTCCTAGAGGCACTCATCTACTACTAAGATCAGTAGTTCTGATTTCTTTATAAAATTGTTAAGGGTAAATTTTATAATAAAAGGTGTGTGTGTGTTTGTGTGTGTACATGTATATGTGTATTATATGTGATTTCAGTCAAACATTGCATTTCACACTTTCTAAATTCAGTAGATAAGGTTGCTTTAGAATAGATGGGTAAAATGAATTAATATCAAATGTAACATAAGAAAGTGTTTTTCATGTGATGTACTGCTTTATATGCCTACTTTACGTATTTTAAATATGAAAAAGAAACATATTTTCTTTTTCATTGGTGTTGGCAAAGTTTACTATTGGGCCGTTGACCCAATAGTAAAATGGGAATGCTGACTGTGTTTGTTTTACTTTTTCATTCCATTTTATATTTACTGTAATTTCATGCTTTTAAAATTCTGAAAAGATCATAAAGCTGATGTGACAACTCTAGTAGACACATCTTGAAACTGACCTCACTTTTTTCCTAGTTACTACAGCTTGGATGATGTCAGCCACGACTCCATGAACAAGTTCCTGTCACATCTGATTGAGAAGTCTCTGGTTGAGTTGGAGCTTTCCCACTGCATTGAAGTTGGAGAGGTGGGACTCTGATCCAGCTTTTGACAGAGGGTGATGGGGTTTGTGCTATTGAAATTTACAACAAATCTGTAATGGTAGTAACCACAGTGTGAACCATTACTCTCTTAGGAATGTGGACCTCCACTGTACATTTCACTTACCTTGTTCTACCTTTATTTGAAATAGGATAACCGCAGCATTGAGCCACTAGAATGTGGTCGAATTGCCTCCTATTACTATTTGAAGCACAAAACAGTCAAAATGTTCAAGGACCGTTTGAAACCTGAGTGCAGCGTTGAAGAACTGCTTTCAATTCTAAGTGTGAGTCTTACACTACTTTGACTTATATATTTCAATGCTGAGTGTGGTTTTTTACACTACTGTGGTTCATATATTTTACAACTTCTCTTATAATTTGGAAATTATATTGTTTCCAGGTCAGAAAATTTTACCTGAGAGTGTACAGGAGTGTCTTCTTTCTTTCAAACAAGGGTTCTTTCCATTTTCATATGTAGGATTATCTTGCAACAGATGTGATGATATGACTCAGGATCCTCCTGAGTAGGATAGGTGCTGTTGGTATGTGAGCCCAAATTAGTGGTCTACTTTGCACTCCCCAAAGCAAACCTGATGACTCAGTGTCCCCTCTGAGATTGAAAACTTGCTGTTCATTTATTTGGATGGCTCTGTTGAGTACTCTATGATGTTACTAAATAGCCTTTTCTTAAGGATCCATATGACTAAATTTTATTTCAAATCAGCGCCATGAAAGCTCTTAAATGCCACTTCCATCTCCTATCTATCTCCTTCTAAGAAAGGGAACATATCATATGGTAAATCTACTATACTCTGTCTTCTCTTTCCCAAAAAAAAAAAAAAAAAAAAAAAAAAAAAAAAAAAACTAAAACCTAGGTTTAATGTTGAAGTTTAAAGCGTACTCTGCACAAGGGGTGAGGGTCTTACTTTGCCTGCACATTTAAGAACTATAAGCTGGCTGGCAAAAGCTCCATGGATCTACCTGTCTCTACTTCCAAATGACAGGTGTATGCCACAATGTCTGGCTCTTTATGCGGATGGGAGGGATCCAAATGAAGTTCTTGGTGTTTATATAGCAGGCATTTTGCCTACTGGTTCATATCCCTCGCCCACTATAGTATTTTCTTAAATTTAATTTGTCAGTAATGAAATTGTCTCATTTCTGGAGCTAGAGAGATGGCTCAGCAGTTAAGAGCACTTGCTGCCCTTCCAGAGGACCCAAGTTTGATTCCTAACATACATGTCAAGCAGCTCATAACTTCATGTAACTCAAAATGCAGGAGATCCAACACCTGCTTCTGTCCTCTAGGGACACTCATACCCAGGTCATGCAGGCATGCATGGCACATTCACTGACCCACACACATAACTCTGTGCAGACTAAACAGGTTATATTTCTTTCTTTAGAAGTGTGTGTGTGTGTGTGTGTGTGTGTGTGTGTGATAGCAGTTAAAGAAATAGAGGCCATGAAATTGAGAGACAGCAAAGGAGGTGTGCATAGGAATGGTTGGAGGGAAGAAACGGAAGGGGGAAATAATGAAAGTATATTTTAATGTAAAAACATGAAAAATATTTAAAAGATGAGGATTTTTTTAGAAATAAATCTTTCTTATACAAAGAAGAATTTCTCATGTTTTAAGCTACACATATTTGACCTTTTGTTATGTGTTAATTATAATACAGAAATTATGTTCATTGAAATATCCTCTTTTCTGAGAAATGTCATGGTATCATTGTTACTGGCACAAAAAAAATGTTTTAGAAGATGACTCTGGAAGAAAAAAGTATATCAAAACATTGATTCACCAAAAGCTTTAAAAACATGAGCCTGTCACTTCCCTTCAGTTATTATCAAGGAGATTTTTTAATTGCTTACACCTTTTCTCCTATAGGAGAAGATAATTATATAGACTTTTACACTAAGTCATGTATGTGACTTAAAAATAAACTGGAATTCATAGCATCTATATAATCTTTTACAAATTGCTTTCTGCTTTTCTGAGGAAATAGAATTTCTTTTGGATTAGGATTGTAGTGACTTTATTGACTTTGTAGTATTTACCAGAAAAGAATTTTTCTTTCGAAAGTAAAAGAAAGTATTTAATCAGGTCACCTTATCATATCCTTTTTAATTAATATTTTTGGAACGGAACCTTCCACTTTACAGTACTTCATAGTAGAAGATTGGCATGACTGATTTAAAACAATTGGTCTGTTAGATCCATTTATATCTAGCTACTAATCCCTATTCTCTGTGTCCTTTTCCTCTATCCTCAGGATGCTTGGGATGAGCTCAGTAGTTTTCACAATGGTGATTCTGTTATCACCTTTCACCAAAGTATAGAGGCAACAGGAAGTTTCTGAATTTGCAGGTGACACTAAATTCTTCTACATAATAAAAATTAATAAGTAAGGAACTTAGCAGAGATTGCATTAAAAAATAGGTATATCAAAAATAGTTTATTCATTACATCAGTGGTTCTCAATCTGTATATTACAACCCCTCTGGGGGGGTCACATAGCAGATATATCCTGCATACCATTCTGAGTCATAACAATATCTAAATTGCAGTTCTGAAGTAGACATGAAATAATTTTATGGTTGGTGTCACCGCAGCATGAGGAACTGAATTAATGAGTTGAACCATTAGGATGGTTGAGAACCACTGCTCTAAATGTTATTCTCTGTTCTTCATGGTCACCTTTTAACCATATATTTTATGTTGATTCTTCTTGCTAGTTGTGTATGTATAGAGTGAGAGGCACTTGAGATCAAGATATGAAACCATAGGCATTATCAGTGAATATTGTAATTGTCGGATAAGCTGTGATCTGTGGCAGAGTGACACCTAGATACTGCTAAAACCAGTCAGAGCTCTGCTTGTTTTCAGAAGAAAAATTTTAAAGACAAAACAAAATGCATATTCTGCCCTCCTTGTTAATCTCCTGGGGATATTTGATGTGTACAGTTCTGTTGACCTCAAGTTTGGAGGACATTGTAGAGAATACTGAATGGCCCAGACTGAGTGGCTAAAGCCTAGCAAGGTGGACTTTGGATCACTGTATGTGTTGTCTGAACAGAAGCAGCTTTTGCTCTTGTGACATGTTCATAATTGGGAACTGATTCTATCAGATCTTAGACGGGCAGTTTTGAATCATCACTTGTAGACCAAAGACATAAACTTTTTCAAAAGAGTCAGAATAAGTACACTGCCAATGAACTATTTTTAGAAGATGGAAGTGTGTGTATGTGTGACCAGGATTGTTTCTCTTTAGGTCGGGAAAGCGGGGCTGCATTAGGAGCAGACTTACCTGGTACATGCATGTCTTTTCTGTCTGTTTGCCCTGTAGATGCTTTAGGGAGATTTTTAACCTTCAGAATATTCTGGAGGTTTTTACTTTGGGTGTTACAGACTACTATATTTGCAGTAATAATTTCTGCTGATTATTTCATCATTCTGTATTGTGCTGAAACTGTTCTCCTCACTAATCTTACTAGTAGGAGCACGCAAATAAAAAATTACTTTTACCTATCTACTATATGCTTTGCACTTTATGTATATTACTTACAAGCCTCAACAACTTCCTATGGTATAATCATATAAATAATAAAAACCAATTTTAGTAATAATGAGCTGCTTCATAACCCATAGGAAGTAGTTCTTTAGGTCTCCCCAATACCTACCTCTCCTAGACACATTTTATCTTATCTTGTAGGTCAGTTCTAGCTTAAAAAAAAAGTAAACATTAAGTTTTAACATCATATAATTTTAAAAATAAATTAGAGTTAGTTTTAAAATTTTGTGTGATCTTGTAACCTAGATTGTAAGTATTGAATATAAATGTTAATCACAGGCAAAAATAATCATTTTAGTATTCCTTGTTGGAAATGTATATTTAAAGTTTTAAACCATCTGATGCTATTTTGAAAAGATCGGGTATTTTATAAGAACACTTGCCAAGCCTTTTTCCACACCATGAATTAATAAGCTTCATAATTAAGGCAGCTGCTTCACACCTCTATTGTTAACCAGTGACATTACATCTGTCCTGCTCCATTGATGCCCTCCTCCTACTTATTGAAGCATTTAGCAGTTTTGGCAACAGGGATTACAAAGCTTGTAGTTAGTAGTCTAATTAGGAATAAGTGAAAATCCTGAGGGAAAAGTACATTTCAAAAGTAATTTGAAGAATCTCTTAATGATGCTGGCACAACTCCAGAGCAGAAAGTGTCCATCGTCATGGCACAGCAGGGTCAGGTTTGATGTGTTTCGTAGGTGTTTAGAAAGCAGCTATTTTAAAACAGCAATGGAAGTGAAAACTTTCAAAGCTGGAGAATCTATTCCAACATAGTTTTAACTGTGTGTTTCCTTAGGGTATTAATAGCTGAAAGAAATCGAAAATATAGTCTTAATATACCTTATGCCTCTCGAATTTTCAGACCTTTTTTCAGTGTAAAAATTATTTGTCTGTTGTTCTTGTAACTGGGCAGAAACATGAAGTTATTCTTGTTTACATAAAGCATGGGATTATATGCATATATGTCAGATACTTTACAAATGATTAATCTATTTCCCAGCAAAGATTCGAATAAAAGAACAGACTTCATACATTAAAATACAGCAATTTCAAATTTTTTAAAGTTTCAGATATATATAAATTTATAATCAATAAATTTTCAGCTTTATCAGTACTTCTTTGCCAAGCTGATTTATCTGTCACAATAGTCAGTGTATAACTATTTCAGTAATTGAGTACCTTAATGCTTATATCTTGTCATTTTGTAGTATACTACAAATCTGTGGTATCAAGTTACAAAAACATCTTTCTCCTACTTTCAAGGTGGTTAAAAAAATAAGTGATAATTTTTTAAAGAAAGTTAAAATAACAGGCCTAGCATAAATAGTACTTTGGGGCGGGGACTTAGCTTGTAAAATGAAAGAGTTCATTAAAGAAAAAAATGAAAGGAAGGTTAACTAACAGTGGACACCACAACCTCAGTGGCCTTCCATTTCCACCTCACCTCATGGCAGTCACAAGGTCCCATCTGCTGCTCGGTATCCCATGTGGGGAATCCTGATGTGATACATTCCAAGGTTTGTGAGGAGAGTATCCCTATACCTCAGCCTGGGGGCTGCCTGGCATCTTTGGAAGAGGCACAGATGGCAAATGTCTTTTTTAAAGTATCTTTTTATTCTCTTCATCCTTTACCCTTGAGACTGTCTTTATTCTCCATTATTTCTTAGCTTCTCCCAAAATTGTAGATTTATAAGCTTTTTTCAACC